GCTCCTTGCTTCCCTCTGTTCCTTCCTAAAGATCCATAAGAAACAGTTTGAAAGGCAGAATTCCTGTGTGGTGACACATAAAGTCATCTGAGGAGCGTTCTTCAGTTTTGGAGCCCCAGCAGCAGGACTTTAGGGAGGGATTTTAGCTGTCCCAGTGAGCTGAGCTGGCCCCAGTGTGTTGCTCCTTGGGGATCTATGGTGGCGAGGTCCGTGTGTGACAGGTACTGGTGTTCTGAAAATGCCCAGATGAGAATTTTCTCTTTTCCCCAAATTTCACTAGCATGGCGTGAGTAGGTGCTTTTTTATTTTGTGAACAAGGAACAAAAAGGAATCATTTTTTCCATTTATTTTTTCCTTTTTTGAAATGATAACTGTGGTCTCATATCTTGGAATGATAAAAGAGGATTTTTGGAGGAGCCATCACTAAGAAGTCACATGTGCCAAGGCTGTTGGAATAATTAATACCAGTAATAAAGCAGAATGACCTCAAGCCCGAGTAGAGGTGAGCTGGAGAAAGCGGAGCTGAGCTGGATCCCTTCAAATCCTGTGAGCCAGAGGGAACCCACCTAGGGCTCCTAAAGAGCTGGCCGTTGAAATCTTGTCAGCCTTAGTGATATCTCTGGGAACCCCGGGAATGTAGATGAAGTCTTGAGAGACTGGAGAAGAGCTAATGAAATACCTGTCCTCTAAAAAGGGAAAAAACGGGGAAACAGGGAGATTATAGGGTCGTTGCTGGAAAAATACTGTAAAAAATGCTCAAGCAGGTCATTTGTAAAAATCTCAAAGAAAAACCAAGGGGACGGCGACGGCCACCGGGCATTTGCCAGGAGCAAGCTGTGTAAAAGCCATCGGCTTTAGTTCATTGACAAAGCACGGCGCATGAATAGAGGAGAAACAATATGTGCTTTTAGTGAGACTTTTGAAACCATTTCACATAAAATCTCATAAACAATCCATGAAAACAGGGCCCATAAAAAGTAGGAAATGGCATCCAAGGGACAAAAGTGGATGGAAGACTCTATTCAGTAGCTATCAGTGGCTGGCTGTCAAGTGGAAGGATTTATGGAGGGTCTTCCGTAGCGTCTCTCTGGTGATATTCAGGGTTTTCAGTCAAATCATGGAATTAGATAATGCGTGTTAAATTAGCAGACCACATGAAGGCACAGGGAATGGGCGGTATATTGGAGCATGTGATGCGAATTCAAAATAATCTTGACAAAGTGTAGGTCCAGCATAAAAGCTAAAACGTTAGGAAAGCATTGTTTGTGTCCAAAGGTCCCTTGGGTCCAAAGGTCCCGGTTGTTGGGGTCCCCATTCCTTGGGTCCGTTGCGCTTGCACAGAGGATTGCAAGGTGCATGAAGGGATCCTGCGTGCCAGCTGTCCTTGGGACAGCCCTGGCTAAAGGCAAATTGCTTCGGGAAAGCCCTGGACTCCAGAACACGCGGAGGACACGGGGAACGGCCCCGGATGTAGAGAATCTGGAGGTGGCTTCACAAGGAGGGTTGAACCAACAGGGCTCGTTGGGTTGAGAAGAGACAGTAGACCGAAGTGGAGAGAACAGCCCGTCTTTGATGCAGTGAGACACGTCCTGGAAATAAATTACAAAGGAGAGTAAATCAGCTCCATTTTCACCTTAATTTGGGCTTTATTTTGCAAATTGCATAATATCCGACTGCTCCGACGCCCCGTGGTGGCCACATCCCTGTGATCTGCCTTAGCCTAGGAGCTCGCAGCCATCCCCGGGCCGCGTTCAGGGGTTTACAGCCCATTGTTGTCGTTCCTGTCGGACAAATATAGAGTCTGCTGCAAAGAATATGAGCTTCTAGTACCTGCTGGATGTTTGTAACAATCTGTGAGTGAAAAAATAAAACCCAGCCAAACAAAGAGGTCTAACCTGTAAAAAAGTTATGGGTGTAGGTGCCCATTTTCTGACAGAGGGGTTTGGTAATGGTGCAGGGGACAGAAATGTAAGGAATAATTGTTTTTGGGCCTAGAACCAGGAAAACTACTTTTCCAAATTAATCCAGTGAGAGCCATGAATCCACAGTATTTCATATCACACTTCATAAAACTCCAGTCATAATCCATAAAAGTGACATTATTAGATTAAAAACCTCAGTTCCTCCTATAAGGAGCTCGCTCATTAGACATGCTGTAGTTTTATAACCTTAAAGTTCCTACCCAATTACCATGATTAATACTGTGCTTTAATAAAAAATTTTTAAAAATCACCGCAGGGGTTGATGCCATCTGTTTGTTATAATTGTGCATTTAAATATTGTCCAGCAGGAGAAAGACGCTCAGTGGGTGCGGAGCGTGACCGAGGGCAGGGTGCGCTGGCCCCGGAGGTGAGACAGGAGATGCAGGTGACATCGGCGGTGTCACCATCGGAGAAGCTCCAGGCTGTGCTTGGTGAAAAGTTTGGTGCTTTTGGTTCTGAAATTGTCTCTCAGTGCAAAATTTGGTGTCTTGGATGACCTCAGGTTGGTTTTGGAGTCTTGGAGATGCCAAATCCCTGGTGTCTCCCCAGCATGGGTGTCTAGTGCGAGGTTGTGCAGAGGGTTTGCGGTCGTTCACCATGAGCTGAACCACGCTGGGAAATGAGCAGCACCCAAAATGCGCCGGGAAATTAGTGTCATCCGGGAGCAGCGAGGACCTTCCCTAAACCAGGAGCCACGCGAAGCCTCCGGAGCTTTCGTGGGAAAGACAAGGATTGAGGTCCAGGCGCAGCCTCAGCCAAGGCGAAGAGCTGCCCGCCTCGCCAAGGGTGCCCTGAGTGCACCCAGAGCGTCGCGGCCACCACGGCCTCGGTGCTGCCCGCACCCGGCGCCGGGGCCACCATGGCCAGGACGCCGCTTGCCAACGTCCCCGCGTTTGATGAACTGTCCGCCCTGCTGCTCATTGACTGCGCCAGGAGCTCCGGGCAGGTTTGTTTCTGCAAAGCTCAGCTCAGCCTGCTGCGTTCGCACCCCTCGCAGTCCCAGGGATGAGCTTAACCCTTCAGGATTTGCTCCTCGGTGCCGGCTCGGCGGTGCCCTTGGCCAGCGGCGACCGTCGGGATCCAGCTGGAATAACTGCAGTTAAAAAAGTGTCAGGTTCGTGATTCCGCCCACAGACCAGAAAACGCCAAACTTGTATTATTTTTGAATCCCCTGATTTTAGAGGCTGGTGGAAATTAGATAGCTTTGCTGCTGACTTCCAGGCAATAAAGAGAGGTGAATCACTACTGAAAAAAAAAAAGTAGTCTAATGGACCACCCAGTCGCTCCTTATAAAGCTGTAAAATGATCCGCTGCAGAAGTGGTAAAGTGGAGAATTATTTTCTTAATATTACTGCAATTGTGCGAGGCAAATCAAATCAAAACAGGATCAGAGTTTGCTAACAAAACAGCTAAGCGAGAAGTGCGTTAATGAATACAGGCCCATTAATATGCATTGAGTGAAAAGCTGGAGCACATATGGGCTGACGGGGCAACTCCAAATGTATTTACTGCTCCGAGTACAGCATGTTATGTTCAAGGACCTAACATGTGTATGTAATTCAGATTTAAATACTTTTTCCCCTCACAATTCTGGGTAATTATCCAACTCAGGATAAGTAAGTAGCTTTTTTTCTTTTTTTCTTTTTACTGAATAGTAGTTAGGACTTTTGTTACTAAATGTAATTAGTCCAATCCCCCTTTTTTAGTATTATTTGACTCTGCTACTTAAGTGTCCTGCAGCATTTTTGAAAATTCTAACTTGCAAATCACTGTATTTAAAAAAAAAAAAAGTGCTAATCTCAGACACTTTTGTTATGCTTTTGACGTTTAATTGTTATTTTTTAACGAGAAAATGCAAGTCCTTTTTAAGTGCGTGCTGGTTGGAAGTCCTCAGACCGGGGTTGCATGGAAGCCCACCTTTTGCTCCACAGAGTCGGGTCCCAACAGAGACCAAACGTAGGAAAATGAGACCTTTGCTAGGGACTAAAAGGTCAGGCTGGAAGAGGGAGGAGACTTCAGGATAAACCAGAGCGAAATTCCGGGGAGTTGCATTTGGGCATGCATTTGGACATAAAAGTTTGTGATGGTGTCATGCTTCCCATGAATTTGTTGTGTTTGACTTGAGCCTGTCCACGTTGGGGCTGCGTTTCCCCTATAGACCTTGGTATCCTTGGGTGCAACTTGGGGTGAGGGACAGTCGTGGTCATCAGTGGTGGCAACTGAGTCCATGGTCAGTCCTCCAGCCTCTTGCCATCGTGTGCAGGGTTTCCAAAGCCGCATCGTGGGCTGGGAGCAGCACGATGGTGAGGATGAGACTGGTTGGAGAGGAAGGCCACCTTCTCCTGCCGTGAGGTGCCGGGCTCACCTGCTTTAGGGCATTCTGTTTCTTCAGAGCTTTAAAGTCTTCTTTGACCCCAGGTGCTAAAAAATGTGGGTAAATCCTTTACAGGAAGATAAAGTTCGGCTGCGAGAATAGAAAAGTGTCTGCTAAAAAAATAATAGACCAAACAAGGTTACAAGTTTGAGCCCAGCTGGAATGGGGGGGAATTCTCCTTAGTTGGCCTCAGGTCTGAAAATAAATGACTTGCTTACATCAGAGCATTATTTTTCAACATGTAATACGTTAAGTCAGCTTTATAACCTCATTTTTTATGGGTAAGATGGTGAGACTTTGTTTCCTTTTTCTTTTTTCTTCCCTTTTTCTTTTGTTTTAATGTGTCCAAGGAACAGCTAGTTAATTAGCAAAACTAGCGCTAAATCCTAAGGAATATGACTAACGGGACAAGAATTCCTATCAGTCTCAAAACTCAAGCAGTCTGAACAGGCATCAGGAAAAGATGTTTTTCCAGGAAAAGAAAAACTTTCCAGGAAAAGAAAAACTGGAAGTTGTGCTTTATCCATATAAATTCTCCTTGGTTTCCTTCCTTGCTTCCCCTTGTTTTGATGGACTCCCCTGTATTGTGTTATGCCAACGTTAAGCACGTGGCAGCGACGCCGAGCTGCTGGTTTCCCCTCCAGGTGCTGCTGATCGTGAGCGGCAACCTGAGCTTCCTCAACTGGCTCACCATGGTGCCCAGCATCGCGTGCTTCGACGACGCCAGCCTGGCCTTCCTCTTCAGCGCCCGGCCGGGCGGTGCCAAGGAGCGGCTGGCGCGGATGCAGGGCAGGCGGGCGGCCGGAGAGCGGCTCCCACCGACGCTCGGTGAGTTGGGGCTGGCAGGAGCCACGCTGCAGACCAGGGCGGTGGGCAGGTGGGTCTGCAAAGCTCTTGTGGTCCTTCTCTGCGCGTCGAAGGGTGTCTGGGTGCTGCGGTGGTGACAGGGCAGCGCAGAAGCGGTGGCTCATTGATCAATATCTGTCACGCTGTTGCCGCTAGAGGGCACGTTGTTAGTTCGGGTGTATTTGTTTTGGAACGGGCAAGGCTCTGTAGCTGCAGTTCTGACATCTTTGCTCATGAGAGTTAGCATTCATTGCGCTCACTTCAGTGAGGGTCAAGCTCCAAGCCTAAGTAAGCAATGTGGAGCTGCATGATTTATCTAGCAACTTTTTAGAAAATATTTTGACTATTTAAAAGTCAGGAATGAGACACCCAGTGTGGCTCGGGGCAAGGATTTCGTGTTTGCTTGGGCTGAGCCCTCTGCCTTCCCCTGGGACGTGGTCGTGCTCCAGCCACAGGCACAATGCTTCCCAGCTTGAAGAGAGAGCTGGACAGGAGGCCAGGCTTGCAGAAAGAACAAAATTGATGGTCTGCCGTGGTTCCAATAATGCATTTACTGACTGGAAAGGAGACTCGGCTCCTGGTCTTGCTCCGCTCAGCAGCTGCTTGGGGAGGCAAGAGGAGCGGCCGTGTCGGGCCCCCGTGGCCACTGTATTGCACAGCTTGGGATAAGATGACCTCACATATTCATATTATAACGTGGAAAAGCAAAGACGGGGGTCTATTTTAAGGTAGGAGAAGGGGTTGTTGTGGCTCATGTCCCCCTCTGAAGTGATTCTCGCAAGCCGCCCTGTTCGCAAAGACTGCCTGCGCAAGCAACAGCATCGCTCTGGTTTCCTAGGGCTGCAGAACAGATGTGCAGTTGTATTTTTATAAACCACGTTTAAGCAGCAAATTGACTATAATGTCAACAGCAATTACAGATGCTGATTTTTAAATATACTAAACATCTGTCAGAATAGTGAAAAACATCAACAAGATGCACATCTATATCTTGTCCTTTCTCATCTACCAAGAAACGCAGTTTCCCAACCAGAAGTGTTAATTCCTTGCAAGAGCAAGGCTACTGCAATACCGTTAAACTTTCGATGTGTCCCATCGTACATATTTTGCTGAAAGGCAAAATCTTTAGCAGCTTTTCAGTTCTGGTGCCTCTCCGAAGGGGAGAGGTCCTTCCTGTTGGTGCTGGGGGCTTCATCCTGATCCTGTTGACTTGATCCTCTTAGTCCCTGGACTGAGAAGGTGCTGACAGTTCATGGGCCGGATCTCTTGAATCCTGAGCTTAAGGTCATGGATACTGGAGGAGTTACAAGATGAACACCCCGTGTACGGTCCGAAGTGGCCTCTGGAGCTACTCATGCTGCCTGTGCTGTGCAGGACTTTGTGTCCAAAGCTGCTCTTGGTTAGAAGGTCCAGCCCGTCTCAGTGACCCCCAAGGCCCTGCCTAGATCCTGGTCGCAGGGGGCGAGGAGCCGCGTCGCAGCGAGCTCCCGTCCAAGCCAAATGATGCTCCAGCAGTGTCCTCAGACTAAACAATTATTAATAGCTTCTGAGAGGGGTTCAAATAAACATCCCTCTCCTGCAGAGATAAGGGGAAGGCTCCATGCAATTGCTTTGAATCTGATCCTTTGGCTGTTAATGTTAAACAAATGAAAAGCGGGCATAAGCACAAGAACTCTTTGGAGGTCGCTTGTGCTTGTTTGTTCCGTTGCAGTTGGACTCTCTTTGGATTGCAAGGGCACCTGAGCGCAGCACAGCCCTGGCCGGCCCGGAGAGGCCCCTTCCTGCAGCTCTGCAACGGGAAGGACAGCGATAGGAAGGGAGGTTGGCCGGGGGAGATGGAGATCTGAAGGGAATGAGGGAGGCAGGAATCTGCAGGAAAGCAGAGGTGGCCACGGAGCTGTGGTGGCCACAGTTATATTTTAGACATTCTTCTTCTTAGACCTTTCTCGGGCTGTTTGGAGAAGGGCAGATCTCTCGAGCGATAGCGTGTGGCCCCTTGGCCAGGTCTCTCTGGTTGCATGGGGTGGTGGTCGGCCCAGGCTGACGTGGGAGCTGAGAGGAAGGGCCCAGGGAGGCAGGTGAAGGCCGGGCCGTGTGGAGGCAGGAGCTGCTGCCGGTGGGGAAACCGCTTCCCTCTGCTCTGCTTTTGTGTCCCAAACAGGCTGCTACATCCGCAGGGTGGTGAACATCTCCTTCGGGCTCCTCATCGCGTACCTCAGCGTCCCCGTCGTCCTCAACCTGCTCAACTCCAGACAAGTCATGAACACGTCCTTCAACCCTCTCCGAATAGTGAACACCTACGGAGCTTTCGGAAGGTACGCTCATTCCAAGGGCACATCATGCAGCTCAGCCTGTCCCCCAGCAGCTCCAACTGCAGGCAGAGAGCCAGCCTTTAAGCCTGAAATGAGACAGAAATCCTTCCAGATTAGGTAGACTTGGAATAGACTTGGGGTGACTTGGAATAAACTTGGGGTAGGCTTGGGCTGGACTCAGCAGGTAGACTTGTTTGTGAGGAGAGGGGAAGAAAAGAGCAGGTGTCTTTCATACTGAACTAGAAATTGTTTTCCTCGGGGTGTTTTTAATTAGCTTGTTATATTGATGTAGCAAACAGAGCAGCAGGATGGAAATAGCCATGGACGAGTTCACCTAGAGGATGGTCTTCACCATCGCCAGCAGCCTTTATTTAAGGGAACTTCTCTTCCCATGTGCACACTTGTTCTCCCTCATGTAAATATTCGTGTAAGCCGTTGGGTAGCAGGGTTAAGGCCAACAAAAGAAGTGTTTTTTCCAACCAATGACCTGGAGAATTCATCACCACAGGAAATTGTGGAGACTGGAGTGTAAATGGGTCCCAAGGAGAACAAGAGAGGTTCAGAGGGCAGGCGGGTGGGCAGCCTGACTGCTTCCTTCAGCTCAGGAAGCCCCATTCAGGGCAGGAAGGAGGGCACTGAGCAAGGGGAAGCATCTAGGTCTGGATTTGGAAGCACCTGAGGATGAGCTTTCTGGAGGAGGGTTTCTGGGCTTAGATGAGCCCCAGGTCTGACCCAGGGTGACTCTTCTTGTGTACTGTCCCTCTCGTGCTCTTCCTGACCAAGACACCTGGGAACAGTGTTTTCTTTCCACAGAGCAGGGGTGGAGAGGTCTCTGCATGCCTCGTGCAGGGTTTTGCTGCTGCTGGTGGTGGTGGTGATGCTGCAGAGCCAGTGGGCAGTGAGGCCACATTGCGCCCATGAGTTGCTCTCTGAAAGACAACCCCTGTCCTGAAAAGCTGAGAGAGGCCAAGGGAAAGACAGAGGAGGGAAACCACAGCAGAACGAGCGAAACAGAGATTTACAGCCCCCCGTTTAATCCCAGTGTCAGCAGATACCACCAAGATACCCCTGATCCTTGCCCGGTGTGTTGCTCTTGGAGTGGCATCTGTCAAGAACCAGCCCGGAGGGACTGGACCCTGCCGAAATCAGGGAACGAGGGGCCTTTGGCAGAGAACGTGCTCCACACCCAGCAACGGCGCTGGGCTTCCCTCCATGTCCTCTGGCTTTGGTCACCCCACGACCTGGCCGTGGTGACCACGAGGTGTCCCCCAGAGGCTGGAGCCAGGAGGTGGCCCAGGCTCCTCGGGACTCTGGACGTGGCCCCGGGCAGGGGGGCGTTGCTGGAATTAAATAGGTTTTATGGGAGGAGGAGGAGGTTGGCTGATGAAAGCCCTAGCGGAGCAGCCGGCCAAAGGGGAGGAGCGTCTCTCTCTGGAGATGCACAGCACACCTAGGTCCATCAAAGCCATTCGCCCTGTATTTCAAATAGCAAATACGTTTTGTGAAAGGGAAAACTTTGTGAAAACATGATTAAAAGTACCAGCGCTAAAACAGTGCGAAACAGCGAAGTTGCTCCTTTTTTTTTCAGAGAAGGAAAAATAACCCTTGAACCTCTCTGAACGCTGCAGTGGTGAAGCTACGGGAGACTGTTTTCTTTGGGTTGTTGTTCTTCGTTTTCTTCTTCTGTCTATGGTTTCTGTTTCAACAGTTAGCAGAACCTAAAGAGCATGTGATGAAATGCTGCTGTAATATGTTTGTAATTCCAGCCTATGTAAACCAATAAAAAGAGGATTGCAGCTTATAATGAATATACGATTATGTGAAACTTGACATATTTTGAATCACACAGTAGGAACATACTTTTATTAGTAATTTGCTGTCCCTGATTTACAGTGTGTTTCTAACCGTTGGGCAGCTAGCCATGGCTCATAACTCAGCCCCGCATATAACTTGGAACTTGGCTGGAGGATCCAGGAATCTATTAAACGTAGGTAACAATTATAAGCTGAGACACAGAGCATTTGTCCAGTGGAAAGCGTCTGTCACGGGAAGTCGTTGGGGCTTCACACTCCAAACTTTAAGCTTCTTGGGTTGAAGGATGAAGGAGTGATATAATAATAAAATTAAAGATGTGTGTGGAGCTGAGCAATTTTGACAGGCGGAGTTGTGTTGTTGGTATATTTATAATGGAAAGCAGCTCTCCAGTGTAGAGGAGCAACCTCGATGGTCTTGTTTTCACCTGAGCTTTCAGTGGCCCACAGCGTTTGTGCTCTCTGCTGCTCACCTTGCTGAGCAGAAAGCAGCACATCAAGCAGCAAAGGGAAAATGTGTGGTTTTTCTTTGGAAACTTGTCTTTGGAAACTTGGGACAGGTTGGCCCATCTATTCCAGATGCTCATGCGGGACTTGGCAGACCCATCGTGTTCTCTCGGTACCTTGGGCAAGGTCAGGCTCTGCTCTGGAAGGACAGTCAGACTTCTGAGACCCACAGATTTCTGTAGGAAGCATCTTCCTGGCCTCAGGCTCCCTGGGGAACGGCAGTAGTGCCGAGCCGCTCTGTCAGGCTGCCCAGCAGGATCAAACCCTCCCGAGGTAGTTGCCTTGTTGACTCTAAGCGGGTGGCATTTTTCACCACTTGAGAAAAATAAGGTTATTGTGCTGTGTCCTGCAGCATCACCAAGGAGAGGACAGAGGTCATCATCCAGGGAACATCCAGCGAGGATCCCAAGGACCCTGCTGCGGTCTGGGAGGAGTACGACTTCAAATGCAAGCCCGGGGACGTGAGGAGGAGGCCGTGCTTCATCAGCCCCTACCACTATCGCCTCGACTGGCTCATGTGGTTTGCTGCTTTCCAGGTACGTGTCTGCGGGTGCCCCAGACGCCTGCGCCACCTGCACCAGGAAAAACACCAACTCCAGGGAATTTGCAGTGTGCCTGGCGAGGGTGGGAGGATATTTTAAGCTCTGTCTAAGTTTGTTAGGTCAGAACAAACAAACAAACAAAATGACGCAGACGGACACATGTACCCCCCCGAGTCCTGCAGGTTTGCCCAGTTTTCCAGCAAATCGGGCAATTTGAATGACACTTTGTTAAATTGCCCAGTAGCTGCTCTGGGGCTGGGGGAGACGTTTGTGCAGCCAAGGGCTCCTGCACCCCTGAGCGCCTCCAGCGAGGCCGGAGGTCCTGCGGGATGGTGCAGGGTCGGTCCCTCCAAGGGATTTCCACAGGTGAGAGCAGCAAGCAGCTGCTCTAAATTAGAAAAGAGAGGAGAGGGGATGCTTGCACAGTGAATTCTTTGATATTGCACATTTGCTGCACGCTCTCATTTGTGTGAGCAGGAGGGTTTCTTGTGGATTTTATAAAGCAGCAGTTGCACGAGGCAAAGCCCCGGGTGAACCTGCCGGTGTTTCCCCTCGCTCCTGCTCGTGCTTCTGCTCTCCCCTGCCCCAAACCGCCCCGTTTTCTTTCCTTGGGGAATTTTCATTTAGGCGCCTTCTAGATTCCTCGCTGATGACATAACCACCTCTCCCTGGCTTTTATATTCACCCCTCCAGTTTTGGGGCGCTGGAGTTTCATTTAATGTGCATTCGGAATGCCTTTCCAGAGCGCTCCGGCACTGGCCACGCTCCCGGCCCGCCCGGAGGAGGCTGCGGAGCGGAGAAGCGGATCCGAGATGAGAGAAAGGCCGCCTGATTGCAGGGCAGGAGTATCCCCGAGGTCCTGAAATACAAAGTGCTCTCAGGTTTAAAAACAAGCGAGGACAGGGCATCAATACTTGTGCAGCAGCAGAGGGAAGTGCTGGCGGGGCTGGTGCTGAGAGACGCCCTTAGGCACCGGCAGGATCTTTCAGCGGACACAGCCCCTGTGCTGAGTGACGGTGATGTATGAGAGCCGCCTGGCAAGGAGGAGGAGGAGGAGGAGGAGGAAGCAGCACAGCCCCCTTCGCATCTCTCTTCCTTTCCTTTATTTTCTCTTAATTTACCACAAAGTTCCCCCAAGTGTTTCTATCCGCCTGTGCACATGTGTGTTGGAAGGCATGCATGCAAACACTGTCGTTAATTAGCGTGTTAATTAGCTTGTTTTAATTCCTGTTGGGCAAAGCGGGAGGTTGCTGCACACCTGGCGCCCACGGGGCTGTTCCACTAGCACCAAACTGGGGTGATTGCTGCAAACAAAAGCGGTGCAGGCAACACGCGCACAGCAGCAGACACTTGCAGCCACGGCTGTTTAAATTTAAGCGTGTAAATATGTACCTAAGCGTGGAAGGAAATCTCGGAGCGAGTAGCTGAGTGTTTGTTTGAGAGTCTGGAGCTGTATATTTAGCACAGGTTGTCACACCTGATGTTTGGAGAGGCGGCTGTGCCGCGGCCCGGCCCCGGCGTTTGAAGCCCGCAGTTGTTCACATGCTGCTTAAATCTGAACCGCGCATAGGAAATAGCTGCAGAAGGGATGAGAGACCAGAAATGTAAACTCCAGGAAAAGTTAAGTTTTGCAGAGCCCACACTGTAATTTATGGAGCACATTAATCAGCTGCTTCTGCCTCTGGATTACATTTAATCTGTCTTCAGTTCTGGCTGTTCTTCTCCGCTGGAGAAAGCTTGGGACAAGAAACGCTTGCCATGTCCGGAGAAGGCATCGAGCGTCCCTCTGTGCTGCTCGGGACAGGTTCCTCTTTCCATCTCTCTGCTTGACGTCCGGCACTGTCCTCGCTCCGGCTTTCCCGAGGACTTTTCCCTCCGGCGGGACTCACAGCAGGATGGACACGGTGAAGAGATGGATCGGGCTGGACCACGCACCAGGTCACACTGGAGGATTCGCCAGGACGCTCCACCCCGACGTCCTGCTCATTGGTGACTGCTTCTCTCTTCTTGCTCTGCAACATGGTGTGACATTATATTCCAGAAAACCATTTGTATCCTGTTAACTCCATTATCTAAACATCCCTGTTCATTTGTTTCCTAAATCCCCTCTTTGTCTTATGCATCTCGACATCCCGTGGGTGCTGTAGCTCCCAATTAACGTCCTTCGTTTAGCCCTGGCAGGGACGTACCCAGTCCCGAAAGACGCCTGTGTTGCTTCTTCCTGTGCAAACGCCAGAGCAGAGCTCGGCACGCAGGGTGCGTGGTGTCACCCTCCCGGCACAACCCGTCCAGCACCACGTTCAAGGAAAATACTGGTTGTTCAGAAAGAGAAAATAAAGGACCTATGGGCAGAGGAAAAGTCCAGAAACACAGTGATGGATTGCACAAATCTGCATGGGTTGATCCGGAAAAGAAAAGGGACAGACAGGCATTAAAACCAGTCGGGAAATGGGAGGACCCCCTGCGAAGTGGAAAGCAACAGAGCTCTCCATCTCTGTGTGGAGAAGGAAGGCAAACATGAGCTAAATGTTGGGATACGGTTCAATCTCAGGGAAATTCAGGTGGATTATTAGGAACAGCTTTCTAGCAGGAGATGATTTAATGACAGCCTCGGTTGCGTGGACACTGCTCTGCTCCTCCTGGGGGCTTTCTTGCCCAGGGCACCTTCCTGAGCTATGGCAAAGCCACCCTGTTCTGGCAGAATTTGGTGACAAATCATTAAACCTCCGTGTCTCCTCCAGCACGGAGCTGTGTTGTGCCGCGGCACGAGGGGTTTCATGGTGGGGCTTCTCTCAGGCTGTGGTGGATTCAGTATCGTTAGTAAAAAACAGCCAGAAAACAAGATCCTGCTCATAGTTTTTGTGCTTTTAAGTTGGTCGCTTTTCCTGGTGCTTGGATGTCTTGGACTTTGCGAAAGCTGGTTGTTTATAGTATAAAATATTTGCTCTTCACCATTGGACAGCAGTGGAAAGTCTTCACTATTCCGTATAAAGCAAAATCAAAGGGAAGGCTTTCTCCCTTCTTGTTATGGCATGAAGGTTATTTATTCTGTTCAGGTTGTGTAAGCTCCCCGTAGCAGGGGCTGCGTGCTTGGCCGGTGCAGCAGAGCGCATTCGGTGCGTGCTGAACAAAAGTAGTCGAAAAATAACAAAGCTATTGCCATCTTGATATTGATTCTTAAAGCCCAGTGTCCTGTTGCCTTATTCTTTGAAACTTTCCCAAAAAGTCTCCGACGGCTGGGCTGACCTGCGGCCCGAGGTTTGTGTCTGAAATTCAGGTCACTTCTTTTTTGCAAGAAGCAAACTAGGAGTTCTGCTCCTGCTTCTCCTTAGTAAGCTGGACCTAATGATGCCACGCAGGGAAATGCCTGGTATGTTTAGGCTGGAGGAGGGCACCGCTGGGTCCAGCAGCAAAGCCAGTACCAGGGTCTACATCTTCCTCCTCCAAGCGTCTCCATTGCCTCGTATGAGTCTGTCCGTCTCCAAGGACCTTCTGTGCATCCCTGCACCAAGGAGATGTCCTGCCTTCAGCAAGGGACCTGCCCGAGGCCAGATGGACCCGGGCTCTGTCATGGAGGGGCTCTGTAAGCGTTGGCAAACCAACCGAACCGCAGCCCTTGCGATACAGTGAGAAGAAATATGCTTTCCAGATGTGCTGCATGAGCTCGTAGATAAAATGCAGCCGACTTCTGAAGAGAAATCCGAGCGGCAGAATTGATGCTTTAAGGAGCCCCTCTCTGGGGCGAAGCGGGGACAGGAGATCTCACGTTATCGGAGCAAAAAGCAACCCCATTTAGAGGGAAGGCAGATTAGGGTTTTTGTGGAATATTTTACTCCAAGCAGAGCTGCTCGCAGCTGAGGAGCCGCGTGGCGGCGGGCGGAGGACGGGGTGTGTGTAACGTCGTAAAGCCCCAACCTCCCGAGCACAGCACTAGCCACACTCTTTAACATTTCCTTTCTCTCCCCTTCCAAAAACACAGGCCTCCGTTCACTTCCATTTTCCATTGCAGCATTCGTGCGTTTTGGTCCCCGTTCAGAATGTAAGAATTCTCCCTTTTTTCCCCTGTAAGTCTGATTAGTTGCCTCCTGGTGAATGTGAAAACCTTTCTAACCCTCAAGCTGCGCCCGTGAAAACTGCATCACGGCTTGCGTACCCCTAAGAGCAATATTGCAATGGGAGTGCCCAGAAACCCAAGCTAGACTCCGGACCTGACCCGCTCAGTACTGCAGAATCGTGGAGCCAGACCCTGTCTGTGCCGGGACGGTTATTGTGTGCGGGGTTCTTGTCTGTCCCTGGCTGGACTCCGCTCTGCAGCAAAGGGACTGTTATTTCCGAATGGAGAGGTGGTGCAGGAGCTCTGCCAGGTGAGTGTTTCCCCATGGAGACGGTGCCCCAAGTCACGCTGCTCCTTTCTCAGCCACTTTATAATCAGGGAGGCAAATGGGGGGCTTTTAGTGAGGCTGGAGCAGTTGCCCCCCTGGAAGCTCCATACATTGAATCAGGCCTGCTGAGAAATGGTTTGTCCCTTTGGGAAACTACTGTAAAGAAAGGGACGTGGTTATTGGGGATAATTAGGAGTGAGAGACCCTGACACAACCGCTGACCTCCCTTGGTTAAGTCCATCAGTGGCAGAGATGGCAGTGGTCTCCGAGATGCAATATTTGAAAAGCAAGGTGTCCTCAGCTGTGCTCTCGTCGCTGTGTGACGTGGTTTAGTTCTGCAGCTGGTATCTCAAGTTCCTCACACAGTGACCCCTGAAGACAGCCAGCTACAGAAGGGCACACTGGTGTAAAAGAAATGGGAGTATTTTAGATAAAAACACCCAGGATGCTGGAGTCCCTGCTTTGCACCCAAAGTGGGGAGGCTGGGATGCAAAAAAAATATGCCCCTTAGGACATTGCACTGGAAACATGAACCTCCCCGGCCCCTCTGTCATCCCAGGGTACACACAGAACCCGAGGTGGAAACTTGCAGGGCTCCCAACCATGCAAAATAATAATGCCGGGCTCCCGGGCCAAGTTTCCAGCTGTTTCCACATGTGTATCTCATACTTACCTCCTCCCGCGCGCCTGTGCCAGGACCGCGATTCAATAAAATGCCACACTAATCCACAGTCCTTTTTCATTAAATGACCAATTAAAGCTGGAGGAAAAGGGCTCTTATTATTATTATTTCAGTTGGGAACATGTTCCCTGTAGTGCCGTGTGGGTTTATATATATATTTTTTGCAATGATTATATTCTCCTCTGCTCCGTTATCTCTGTAGAGCTGCCTTGCCACTGCATTCATTCTGCCCCCAGCTCCTTGCTGTCGCTTAGCCTCCATGACAAGTTGCTTTTGAATCCTGAAAAGCTTTTAAACACCTCCGAGTACGAGTGAATGCATTCGTGGGGCCGGTGCTGTGTTTATGCGCTGATTAAGGTTGCAAATGGGAAGGTCAGAGAGCAGAAATAGTTAAGGAGTCGGGCAGGAGGATTGCTTTGTGGGCCCAGGGTTAGCCCTGTGGTCCGCAGTGATGCTCAGCTCCTGGTGCTGGTCCATGCGGAAGCAGAGGGAAGGAGCCTTCCTCACCCGGAGAGCCAGGGGCTCTGGATACAGCGAGACCCTGAGCCCCGTGACAGCCTGAAGCTCTCAGTGTCTTAACGCTAGTTCTGGCCTAATTAGAGAGGTCTTGAGTGCTGGTACCAGCTGGGAAGTTGTGTCTCTGTGGAGTCTGTGGATACAAGAAGGCTTCTGCTCTGCAACTGCGGTATCGTTGCTTTGGGAAGCTCGGCTTGGGCCTCCGCTGACTCGCACGCATGTTTTGGTTGGGTTGGGGATGGAGTTTGCGTTTGGGTTCATTGCTTGCTTCCTTGTTTTAAAATCAAACAAAAGTCCTCCAAGCAAAGGAGGGCGTCGCGCCCACGTGCGTGTCCCTCGCCCAAGAAGTCCCAGCCTGTGCCCATGTCCTGCTGGGCACAGTGAGACCAGAGGAGGGTCAGCCCGTGCTGCCTGCCCTTGAAGGAGGCCTATGGGGCAATGAGACCGTGGCCCCTGCTTAGGAAGGACCAAAATCTGAAGCTGAGCCCCTTGCCCATGGCCATACCTTAAAGCAATGCATGCATTGGTCCTAGCTTTTTTTTCTCAACCGTTGGATGGGTCCAGGTCTCACTCTTCTGTTCTTCATGCTCACAAGTGGAACCTATATGTGATCCTGAATGTCATCACTCTACAAACCCCTCTGAGGTCCGGGTCCTACCATGAGCGAGGAGCCTTGCAGCCTTGCACCGCGCTGCTCCCCTGCGCGGGACCCGCATCACCTGGATTTTTTTCCCCTTTGCCACCCTATCACTTTACAGAGTAATGAGTTAAACAGCTCAGTTCCTGGTGCTGCTGGGCTCCTGCGTGCTCCAAGCATCGCCGTGCGTGATATCTAAGCCTTTGTGTTGGGGGCAGAGCGGGGAGCTGCATTTGATGGAAATTTCTCACCGCAGACTTCGCTGGGGCCAGACATGTTGTAAATTTTACAAGAAAAACACTTTACAAACCAGAAGTCCAACTCTGGTGAGCACGGAGCTGCTAATTAACAATTTGGAGACCATGTGAGGCAGGGATCCTGTTCCACCATTACAACGTCTCCTGGTTATGAAATCTGCCTCTCTCAGTTCGGTGTCCTGCACAAAACGCAGCTCCTGGTGATTATGTAGAGTTTCTAGTTGGCTTTTTCTCTGGCTTCTCCCCTACTTCCCTCCAGAAGGAGACTGCCACGTGTCCCACGGCCTCCAAGAAATAGTCCTTAAAAGCCAGGAGAAAAATGGGTAGGTGAGCAGGGATGTGTGGTGGGTTGTGCGGGGCTGGTGGGACATCCCTGGGCTCGAGGACTTGGCTCCTGGTGGGCACCCTCGGTGGTGGCCAGACCACCTGGTCCTGGTGAGACAAAGCAGGAGAGGAATTGCCTCCAGAAAGCTGCCTGGCTTAAATAACTGTGGTTTCCTCTGAGTGGGGATGAGCAGGGTCAGAAAGCCCGCGAGGGAGCTGCTTCCCAAAGGACTTTCCAGCGGCGCGGGGCGTTTTCCGTCCCGCTCCGCTCCGCCGGTCCCCGGGGCAACGCAGATAACAAAACTTGCCCGTTGTTGTGGGAGGCTTGCCAGGGAACGTTGCCGTGTTCTGCACTAGGCACAGCCCTGCAGGTACCGCCGCCGGCTTTAGCTTTCCCACAGTGTCCCCTACTGCTTGCATTAAAAAATCCACTTAGGTACACGTGAAAAGAGGGGGGAAAGGCTTTATGGAAGTGTTAGGCGCCAGAAATCACCAGAAGGGGCAATGCTTTCCAGGGAGGCTCCCCAAACCCCTTCGGAGGTGCAGGATGCACTCCTTATTTCAGCAGCTCCCTAATGAAGAGCATAGCATAGACAGTGAGTGTTGGCTTAAGGGGAATGAAGGGGATGCAAAGAACAGGAATTTAATAAATCCCATGGTGAATAGCCCCATGCTTCTGTTTTCTCTCTGAAAACACAGCAAGGAAAGTAACTTATATTAAAATACTGGGTAAATTCTCATTTTAAAATGCACCATTACTGCTCCTCTGTGGAGTTTTGCTACTAAAAGAAAGGATTCAAGTCAAGCACGTGGGGTGCAGAGTTAGCCAGAACATCTCCGTTTCAGCAGACACCAGTGATGCACCAGGCACATGTCTGTGTCTTCCACATGTGGTTCATGCAGGAGACCCACAAATGGGATCCATCAAGCAGGTGACAGGAGAGGGAAAGGAATGTGTCCCTGAGATCCAAAGTCGTGGATCACCATCCCAAACCCGTCCCTGGACACGGCCGAGGTCCGTGCGCGGGGGCAGCTGGCCGGGTGCCCTCAGGCACAGGTTGCTGCTGTCACCTTGCTCCAGGCTACGGGATCACGTAGCTGGCACAGCTAACGAGTGGCAGCTCGTTAAGTGGTGGTGTCTCACCCACCCTCAGTATCCGTGTCCCAAGGGGTGGCTGCCAGATGAGGAAACACTGCTCTCCTGGCACCTCTGCTCCCTCCAAACGCTGGACAGTCTCGGCATGAACCTCACGGTGTTGGATCCCATTGGATCTATTCCCAACAACACCGGGAAATTCATCATTTGCCAACTGAACCCACTGCAACCCCAGCCGAGACCGTGCAGAATTCATTAATGCTGATAGCAGCACATGGCTGACTCCTGCAGTCTAACATCATTCCTTTTTTCCATCTTCTCCCTTTCCCAAGACCTACGAGCAGAACGAGTGGATCATCCACCTGGCAGGAAAACTGCTGGCGCAAGAGGAGTCCGCCCTGTCCCTGCTGGCAACGAACCCCTTCGCGGGCAGAGCAGCTCCACGGTAAGCGTCCCATGGGCGCCGTGCTCGGAGGCGCCCGTCCCTCTCGGACACGTTAGCGTTGCTCCTTGGTGTCTGGTGGTCTTTGAGCAGCTCGTGTTAATTATTAGGACACCGTGAAGACCCGGTGCTCCCGGCTCCGTGGTGTCTTCCCAGTGCTCCGACACGGGGACCCTTGGGCTGAGCGTGTTCCCAGGCACGTCTGGGATGGGCTCCGCGTTGCTGCTCTTGGACGGCGCTCCCGGCTCTGCTGCCGTTTCCTGCCCGTCCGCCTCAGATTTTTTGCCATGATTTTTTGTCATCGCACAAATCACATCACAAATAGGCTTTCTACCAGGCTGTTGAGATATTTCAAAGACAAAGCAGGCCTGCACAAATAATTGGTTTTGTTGTCCTGGAATTATTTGAGTTTTCGATGAAAAGACAAAGCAAACATCAGCAAGTGGAAAAGACAGATGAAAACCTAAAGGCTTCTTACAAATGGAGTTTTTCACAAAAGTGTCTATTTTGTTGATGCAGTTATTTTTAGCTGAAAAAACATTTTAGGGGAATTTTGGATCAACTCAAGTAATATTACGCTCTTGCTAATATTTTCCATTTGAGGCTCTCAAGATGCATTGCAAACAAGGACTGAAGTTCACAGCGCCGTGTGAAGTGTGCATCCCTTGGACACAGAGCTGGTGTTCTCAGCTTTAATGCAGAATATCCCCCCAGTCTCCTGAGGAGGGGCTCTCCTCAGGTGCTTCTCACATATCAAGAGCTTCCACCTTCTACCCAAGCACTTTATTTTTAGATGTGCCCTTTGAACCTTAATGGTCTCTATAGAGATATGTATCTGTGTCTATCTGTATGTATTTTTGGGGAAGAAAAAGCAGAACAGAAGCACAGATGGGAGTACAACTGCTGAAGTGTTTTTGCCACAAATGCAGATTTTCTTCACCCAGCTTCTTGCTGGGCACCTAGCAGAGCCTTGGTCGGGGTGTTCCCCCCAAGAGCAGGCCGCTATAAAAGCGGGTATTGGGGCTGTGGCTTCGCAGAGCCCCCGTCGCCCGCCGGCCGAGGCTGCCCGAGCCCCCAGCTCGCAAGCCCAGCAGCCTGCCCGTAAATCACCCTTTATTAAAGCCGGGCTTGCATTGCTGGGTAATGTCGCAGCTTGTTCACTTACACAAGCAGTAGATCTGTTACACAAAAATAATTACGCCTTGGCCGGGGTCCAGGCGGGTTCTCGGGGAACCTCTATTAATTATTCCTACAAAAGTCATGCTGGGCTCTACCAGAATGTCCCTTGCTGCGGAGCAATACGGATTTAATAATGTTTACAGAGGGGTTTTCAGCCCTGATTAGCTCCACTTGCACTCGCATGTCGTAGCAGGAGCGGGGCAGTGATGCCACCTCACGGGCCAGCCTGCACCAGCGGTACGGAGGGAGCGTGGATGTGGGATGTGCTTCGGATAACACTGCCTGGGGCCAGGTGGTGGGCAGTTCGTTACCGTATTCTGCAGCAGGCGAGCAAGATAGATGCCTGTGCGTTTAAAGCAGGGATGGAAGCAGCTCGTTTTCCACAGCAGCATCATTCCTGTGTTGTGGAGTTTGCCGGCCGGCGGATGCAAGCGGAGCGAGTCCAGGCAGGCATGTGAGAACAGAGGATCCCGGGCTGGGCTGCACGTCAGATGTCTTCACTCCGGCGTTCACCTTCCTTTAGAGGCTGTCGTTGGCCTCGTGTATCTTGTGGGTGATGCAAAGTTTTTAAAAAACAGCAATTTGCAAATACTCACTTTGGCCCCAACTGGAATCCAAACCCACCATGCAGCTCGCTGTGCTGCTTTCTCGGTCACATCTGTGGCTTTCCCAGGCCAAATCTGAACATCTTGGGGACTGGCACCATGTGCGTTTTGGTGCCAGTGTGCAGCTGAGGGGCTCCATCGCGGCTGCCGTGGGGATAAGTCAATCCGGATCCCGCTCCAAAGTGTCCGGTCCCTCACTGGGACACTCTTGCTCATGTTTCTTTGGCTCTGGGTTTTTGTTTCCTCCCAAATGGCTTCATGTGGGGGAACCCAAGGGAGAAAATGCCAGAAACGGGGTGATCTCTGCAGTGCCCAGCACAATTCCCTGTGCAAGCAGAGATGCTCACGGGGAGCAAGCCCTTCGGTAGCCCCACTTTTCCTGCCCTGCTTCCCACCCGTCCCCTCTCCGAGGGAAATTTTGAGACTTAATTATTTTCATTCCTTGCTAGACTAAATAATTAGGGGACAGGGCTGTTTTCCATAAGAGCGTCACGTTCCCTGCTCGGCCAGGCTTGTTCTGCTAATGGAAACTCTACACCTCCAATAGCCAAGGGACTTTCAAAATGAGTTAATGCCTTCGAAATGAAATTTCAGAGACCAAAGTTTGTAGGTTTCTTTACAGCACTAGAAATTATAGTATTTTCTTCGGGTGTGATAAAGTTAAAATGAGAAGCAGGTGAGTGATTTCAGCGCGTTGCTGGGTGCGGGGGGCGCTGGGACAGTCGCTCTCGCGAGCCCTCCTGCGCGCGTGCCATTCTGAGAGCACCAGTAAACCCAAAACGGGGAGGTTTTGCCTAAGAAATTAATAATTGTTTAACGTGCCGGCGTGGAAGCAGGCGGCTGCAGGTGAGAGAAACCCGGAGCTCGTTTTGCCCATTGGAGATGAAACACAACCCGTTCCGTGCACAATATCTCTGCTGCTAATCGCGCCGGCTTCAGGATTTTCACTGCGATTTTAGCAGTGCTGCGTTGAACGAGCCCCAGCGTGGAGACCTGGGCACGCCTGAGGTCTGCTGAGCACCGGAGCCGCTGGCAGCTCCCACGCGGCGTCCACAGGAATGACGCGCTGGGAAACAGCCCGTAAAAATACACTTATTCCCCAAACGCATCCCGAGCCGCAAGGAATTTGTGGTGCCTGCAGCGAGCGGGGCTGGAAGAAGCAAGAAAACCCAGGCTGGGGGTTCTGTCACCTTCATGAGTTCATGCTGGCCACTTGCCCCTGATTTACAGCAGGGATGGAACATTAAGATGAAAACAAAAACCCAAAATGGAGAAGATGCCCCGAGTTTGAGCGTCCCCCCCGCCGGGGTGCCCGGCCGGCCCTGGCAGCGAGCGGGTCCGGGGGCTGCACGCGGCCGGGCCCCTCAGCTGCCGCCCCAGCAGCTGCGGCCGCTGGAACCAGTTTCAGCTGTCCGGGAGCTCGGGGCCTCCCGCGCAGCCGCTCGGCGCGCTGCTCGCTTTTCACACGTACACTTGGGACATGTCATACGGCGCGTGATGTACGAGCGAGCCCGGAGCGCGCCGGCGCAGCTGCTCCCGGGCATCTGCCCGGGGAGGCGCCCACGCTTGATTTGGAGGAAAATAATCATGCTAACGCCCATGATTCGCAGCCCCTGCCCGCACCGGGGCGCGGGGCTCATGCACAGGGGGACGGCGCGGGCTCGGGTGGCCCTGGGTGTCGTGCGGTGGCTGCTGAGGGATGGATTTTGGTCCTCACTTTGTGTCCCCAAAGCCACTGTGGATGTTGAGATAAATGTGGATATTCAGATAAATGCATAGGGAAAAGGTCATGTCTCCCAACGGGGTCTGACCGGGCTCGGGGCAGGGATGCAGCTGGGATGCGGGGACTCTGGTCAGCAGCTCCACCAGCCATTTCCCACCCGGCTGCAGGAGTTGCTGCCTGATGCTTCCTAGTGAGGCAAGAGTGAGTTCCTAGTTTTCACTTTCCTAGTGAGTCAAGAGTAGCTCCTAGCTTTCCTTCACCCAGCAAATCCTGGGAAACAGAATGAACATCCTGAGCTTCCCAGTCATCTTCTGTGGCTGCCAAGCACCGCTCATGCCTCGTCAGTGTGAGTGACCACAGGTACCATTAATCTCATTAGTCTCCTTTATAAGCAGCTGATATGAAGCAGCTTCTTCCTGAGGATGTTCGTGTTTCTTCCTAGCAGCAAGCAAGGTTTGTGCATGCAGGCAGCTGCCTGGGGTTGGTGGAGGCCTTGGAAGCCTTGGGGTCTCTTCCACCTGCTGGAATATCTCTGCATGAGTCCCGACGTTGCAAAAACCACGAGCAACTTATAATGAAGAGAGCTGGAGCCTGGAGCAACTCTGTGGTCTGCGGGCAGCCCTGTGTGCACGGGGCTCGCCTGAGTTGCAGGCTGCGCGGGTCCCTGCTGGTGCTTGCAAACTCGGGGGCAGTAGGACAGAGTCCTCGTGTGCTGCAGGAGCACGTGGACTCCGCAGACGCCAGGAGGAAGGAGCAGCCACGCAGGAGCTTTCAAGGTCTGCGGGCTCCAAATGCAGCACCCAGCTCGATTATAAATTCTGGACTAGCTTGTAAACCCTGTGAGCCCTGAAATGCAAGGGTCTCGTGAGTATTAAGTGCTGCAGCGTTGACATCAGTGAGCATCCAAAACAAAGATTCACGAATGCGGCCGCTTGTCGGGTCCTTTGCTGTGCAGCCCATGCCGGGTAGGCTGAGCCGACCTCCACGGTGCCCTGGAGGCACTGGCTGCTCCAACGTGCTGCCATCCTGCAGCATCCAAAGGGCTCCCTCCTCGGAGCGGAGCTGGAGTCCTGGAGAAGCAATAGCTGTGCAGAGAGCAGAGCTGTGGGGATGCCCTGGGTGGTGTCTGGTGAGCAGTTTGGATCCAGAAAGAGCTCGGGGTCCATTTCTCTGCAGTCCAAGGTGTTTTGCATGTGTGTTTTCCATGGGACTTGTGATCCTGGTGGAGCCAGGAGAGCCCTTGCTCCCATCTGCACTCCCTGCTCCAATGGAGCTGACCGGGGAAGCAGCAGGAATGTGGTGGGGATGCGGGCACCGCTGCGCTCGGGGGCTGGCGGGGGGCAGTTTTCAGATTTATTTAGGCTCTGAGCATGCGAGCTTGAAACGCCCTCAGCTAGAAAGGCAAACTGGAGGCCACAAAAATGCAGCTTCAGCTGCATGTGGTTGCTTTAATGCTCACACGGTTCTAGTTTTACACGCCGATCCCTTTGATAGCAAACATTCTAATAGACAGGGAACATATGGGAAAAATCATCCCAAATCAGGCGATAGATATTATTTAATCCCGGCAGGCAAGCACCATTCGGAAGGGACCGGGAGATTTTCATTGCAGAGCGGGGTCCGGTGCTCCCCGGCTCGGCCCGGGGCTCTGCGCCTGCCCCTCGCTGCACAGCCGGTACCAGCAGATTGCGGCTTTTGGGGTGGACGGGGGTGTTTTTTGAACTCGGAAAGGCCATGGATGTGGAAGAGCTGCAGCTCTAAATCTGTCCCAGAGAGCTTGCAGGTTACCTGGGTGCTGCAGCTGGTGCTGATCACTGACACTCTCATTCCATAAGGAAATTTCATGCTTCTGTGGAGGGAGCACTGTGGGAGCAGCACTTCAGCCCCCGCTTGACTTTTGCCAGCCTTGGAAAAGGGGGAGAGAGGGCTACGAGGATGGAAGCAGCAGCTGCAGCCCATGCAGTGATGAGATCCCAGCACCGGCACAAGCCCAGGGATGCTGCTCTGGTTTTCCCGCCTCCCTCCTTTCCTTCGAGCACCCCAAGGTGCTTCCCTGGAGCGTTTTGCTGTCGGTTGCTGCGTGCTATCGCGTTGTGCGCACAGAGGCGGCTCCGCACGGCTCATCCGCATCCCCATCGCGGAGCTGCGCGTAGGGCCGTGCTCCCGCTCGCCCGTGGCAAAGGTGAGAGCTCAGGGCGGGTGCTCAGCAATCATCCCTAGTTATTTCCATGGCCGGAGGCGGCTCGGCGCCGCGGGAAGCAGCAGCTGTGTGAGCCGCTGTCCCGCTCCGCGGCCGCGCTCGCGTTGCAGCCGTGGAGCCCGCCCGCCCCAAATGAGCACTGACACGCCTCTGACACTTTTATATTGGGGGTTATTTTATGAAGCTATCCGGCGGCGGCGATGCGCGCGGCCGCCCCGCTCCCGGCCCTGTCAGCATGCCCTACATCAAGGGGAGCGGGGCGGGCGCCGCGCCGTTCGCCACGCTGATGAGTGCTGCTTTCCGCACGCCTTTACAGTCCCCTTCTCTGTCAGCTCCCCGCGCGGCCTCGAAACAGATGCGGCCGCGCGAGCAGGCGGCCGAGAGCAGCCGGGGTGCCTGCGGTGGGGACACGGTGCTGCCGGGGGGCAGATATAAAGCAGGGGCAAATCATAGATTTGTTATAATTCTTTTAAGCTGGGATGCAAAGGCGCACGTGGGGTGCGAGGTGGGCAGCATGTGGGGTGGCTCGTTCCCAAGTGGCAGGAGCGGGGAGGCTCTTGCCGTGTGCTCGGCTCACGATGCCAATGGGATGCGCACACCCTGGACTGCTCGCTGGTCCTAACTACCAATAGGACAAGAGGAAACTGCCTCAACTTGCACCAGGGCAAGTTCAGGTTTGATGTTAGGAAAACTTGTCCATGGGAAGAGTAATCAACTGCTGGAACAGGCTGCCCAGGAGCTGCTGGAGTCGCCGTCCATGGCAGTGCTCAAGAAACATGTGGATGAGGCACTTGGGACATGGATTAGCAGGCAGGGTGGGGATGGGTTTACAGTTGGACTCGGTGACCTTGAAGGTCTTTTCCAGCCAGAATGATCCTATAATTCTAGGCACCACCTTTCCATTGGGGCAAGACTCCAGAGCTGCAGCCGCGGGGGACCAGGAAGCACCCGCAGCCGCGCTCACCCGCGCTCTCGCTTCCCGCAGGTGGATCCGTGCGGAGCACTTCAAGTACAAGTTCAGCCGGCCGGGAGGCAGGCACGCCGCCGAGGGCAAGTGGTGGATTCGGAAGAGGATCGGGCCCTACTTGCCCCCCGTGAGCCTCGAGGGCCTGCGCAAGTTCTACGAGGACCGGCACTGGGCGCACCCCGCGCGGCCCTGACGCACGCCAGCCTCCGTGCCAAGCACCGCGCGCCTCGCTGTGCTTTGCCACCCTTGGTTACACGTGTTTTACGGGTCCGCCTGCTGCTGTGGTCTGTTCTTTGTCATCTCTGGTCCCTTGTCCCCGTGGGGCTCTGCGGTGTCCCTGCAAGGGGACCCTGAGGGAGCTGGAGGTGTCGCTTGTCCTTGGGCCAGCACCGCAGACCAGCCCTGCTTGGAGAAGAGGACGGAGGGCTCTGTGTGGGTGAGGTGAGATTAAACCAGGGAACGCATCCCGATTTAAACCTTGGGATAATGACCGCAGCCCGGCGCCTGGCACTTGGGAATCCTTGCCCATTCCTTTCCCTCTTTCCCTTCTCCTTCCCCTTCTACTTTCCCTTTCCTTTTTCCCTTCCCCTTGTCCTTTGTTTTCCAAGTGATGGCTGGAAGATAACATACATTCCAAAGCAGTATACGTTTCATATACATTTGAGGAAGATGCGTGCACGGAATGAAATGGGAAACATGTCTCTGAGATAGGGATGGCTCTTGTGCTTGAACCGTCTCTTCCCCTTCTGCCAAGATCACGACATTCCCAGGACATGAGTCTCCCCAAGCCCGCAGCCGCCAACACCTATAGCTAGCCCTATATCCAGGGAGCAGGATGCCTTATTCCTGCAGCACTAATGAACGGCAGTTCTTCGTTGTAGAGTAAGTGATCACCAGCCTGTGAGTTCACACAGAAAATATTGCCGAGCCTTCCCTGTTCCGCGCTGCTCCTGGAAGCTGGCTTCACTTTAGTGCATATTAAGGCAAGAGCTTTTTTCCTTCCCAGTAGATTAAGTTTGGCTAAACAATTCAGTGTGAACTGCTGGGCAGGAGGCAGAAACCTGTAGGCTAAATTACGCAGCTGCTATACGTTTAGCCCGGCATGGGATGAATTTCAGGATTGTATATTAGTTTTCATTTAATCTGATTATTCTAGGCTGGACTTCCTGGAGGGTCTTCAGGTTATTGTCAGTCAAAAGAATCCTTAAAAGCTTCCATTTGCACTCAACTTTTCCCATTAGAAGTCTATTTTCATTACGAATCGTTTCTTATTTTAATGAAAAAATGATTCCTGCCCCTGCGTTTTTCCCTTTGCAGCAGGGTTGGGAGCAGAGTGGTGGCAGCTCCGTCCTGCTCTGCTGTCAGATGTGTGTCCAGGCAGGGGCACAAGGGCCCAAAGATCCAAACTTTCCTCCTCTGATGAGATTTTGACTCAGTTAAAAGGGATGGGGCAGAGTATGAGGCAGAAAACAGAGCAGCTCCTCTCCTGCCCTCCTAATAACCTGCCCCGTTCTCCCGAAATCCCGCTCGCTATCCCAGGAAAACGCTCCAAGCGGCTCAGATCCTGGGGGCCGCGGACTCAGTGCTCTCCAGGCTTCATTGGCCTTTAAAGCCCGGCACGGGGTGACTCTGCCGAATTAACCACCGGCTCCTTCCCACCCGTCACCTCCTTGGATCGCGCGTCGGCGCGTGCGCCCTGCTCGCTTCAGTCCCTCTCTGCCTGGTTCTAAGTGTGAGGATCTGGGACTCTTCATGCAGAGAAGAAGAGTCTCTTGGACCCACACGTGCTCTGCAGCCGAGAGCTGCTCCCTGTGCAGAATTCCCAGGATTTTGCCATGCCTTTCCCACCATCGGATCCCCTGATCCGGCTTCCTCTGCGGTAGCTGCTGGGGATAGGGTTGCCCGTGGCTGCACTTTATGGTGCAAGCAACTGTTGCTGAAACCATTCCATTAAACTCTCCCCACCTGCAAGCAGTTACTTGGAATAATAAATAAGTGATAGAGGAGGGAATCGCGCGCTCTTGTACCGCTCAATAAAAGCGTTGTCGAGATTAAAGAATCAATTAGGCGTCAGCCAAAGGGGCCGAAGCAGAGCCCAAACACGCTGATAAAATCCAGCAGGTGCTTGTGGGGACGGTTCTTGTTTCGTTGTGCTTTTAAAGGGGATAATTGCTCGTTACAAGGCGTGGAGTGGCCTGGCCGGGATGTTTCCCTGGCGTGCAGGAGGAGCTGGGATACGGCGGTGCTCGCGGCATCCTTGGATGTGTTCGGCTGCCACGGATCTGAGGCTGGAGCTGCTGTGCGGGACCTGGAGCTGCCGTGGGGATGTGGCTGCATGTACAGAAAGGTGAGCGTGGGGGAAAGGAGGAAGGGTGGAAATTCCAAATGCAAAATGCCTGGATGTCCAGGTTGGGCTGGACAGGCGGTTTCAGACACGTGTCCCGCAGGAGAATGAGCTTCTTGACCAAGTTTGCAGGGTTTCCAGAGGCCAGGACTGGCTCTTGGCTCTGGAACAAGGACGTCACTGGGTCCAGCATCCCTGGCTTGGAAATCCTTATCTCAAAGTGCCAATGTGGTGCTTGTGAGCGGAGCCACAGGCAGCAGGTCCACTCTGCTCGGGGGGATCTGCAGGGAAAAATGGGGAAAAGCCACCCCTGGAGCAAGGGCAATGCGGGCTCTAAGAGCAGGGAACCTGGAGATTATGCACGACAGATGTCTGCTCTTTCTGCACGCAGCCTCTGAGGAACCAAGTAAAATCTGATCGTTTTGGGGGAAAAAAAGAGGTTAGGGATGTATACGTTAGAATGCTCCCAAATTTTTCCCATATGGCCCTCTATTCAGCAGGAAAATTCACCTGCAGTGCCAGCTCCCGCCTGCAGCAGGGATGTGCCGCGGGGAACGCAGCGCTCGCAGCCTTGCTGATAGGGGAGGTTGCAGTGCTCTGGTGTGCTCTCATGTGCTCTAACGTGCTCTCACTGCATGCTCCCTGTGTGGTGCTGGCCTCCCCATCCTCTCCTGGTGCCCGTGCACACGAGGGTGCAGCAAAGTCTGGGCACAAGGGGGCAATCCCCAAAGCACCTGCAAGGCGGGATAGCCCTTTACTGCATGTTTTTTACCTTGTTAACTGAACATGTTTGGTTTTCTAAGGGTTTTATAAGGATTATTGTTTCGGAAGTAACTGCTTGGGAGGCTTTTTGCATTCATTTTTTTAAGAAATTTGGCCTCCTGCAGGCACTCTGGGCCTTGGGCTCATCTCGCAGCTGGTGCACGTGCAAGGAGGGCTGCTCGGGATGGGCATCCCAACAGCCGGGGACGGAGCTGTGCCCACGGCCGCCTGGCCTCAGGAATCCTGCAATCCTTCATTTTCTCCGCTTTGCTTTTCTTTTTTACCCACTTTTGCGGGTTTCCTCCCAGCAGACGGTGTCGCAGCTCCAAGCAGCTGCTTGGTGCGTTTAGGAAGGGTATTTCAGGAAGGGGATTTTACGAGCGCTGCCTGCCCATCCGGAGGGCGAGTTTCCCCGTTGGAGCGCGGGGGGACCCAGCCTGGCCGGAGCAGCGGCCGCGCGCCCCGGGCTCCGGCAGCTCCCGGCCTCTGTTTTCCCACGTGCACAAAGAAGGCGAGCTGGGAAGGCCGCCCGAGGCTCCCCGGCATGTGCAGCCTGTCGCAGAGCTAATGTTGGCCAGCTGCAGAGCTCAGCGGGGCGAGCTCCGCGCTCCGTGCGCTCCGTGCCGAGGGCCGCGCCGTTGGGAAGGGCCCCGGGAATGGGGTGCCACGTGCGCAGGGAAGAGGAGCCCGCTCGGGGCTGCTCGTCCCCCAGCAAGGGCCAGGGTGGAAGGATCCGGGTGCTCCATGGATCCCGTGGCTCCTGCTGCAGGGCGCTTGGCAGCCGGAGCCGCCATCCCCAAAGCTGCTCGCTCCGAGGACCCACCCGGGTGACGTTTGCACCCTTTGGACATGAGCTGTAAGCGTCCTGCATCCCACAGGGAAGCAGCCGGACGCAGAGCGGGGCCGTGGAGCTGCGAACTATAGGAAGGAGCCTAAAGGGTGATGGGGACCCCCGCGGTGTCCCCCCGCTGCCGGCTCCTCGGGATGCAGGGAGGCCGTGCAGGATCCCCACATCCCGGATACCCACTGTGGGAAGCGATCCACGCAGCCCATCCAACCCAGGTCTCTCCCTACGCGCTGCCCCGTCTTTCCTGTTTACTTGTTATTTTGGAAGCAGAACAATAAATAATTTATGGGCGACGGGCTCGGCTCGCTTGGAGCCGAGGTTCCCTGGCCAAGCGTCAGGGCGGAGGGCCAGGAGCGGCGGGAGCATCCGACGGAGCCACGGGCGCCTGGCCGGGCGCTGGGCCGGCGCCGAGGGCGGGGGATCCGTGCGGATCCCTCCGGAGCATCCCGGGTACCCGCGGGGCGGCCTTTGCCCCGTTCCGTGCCCGGCCCGGCCGCCACCCTGCCCGCCCCGCGCGGGCGCTGCAGCTGCACCCAAATTATCTGCATTTGCATCTCAATGGGGCCCTGATTAATATTTAAAGAGCCAGCTGTCTGAGGCACCTACGAGAGGAGAAAAAAAAAACATTTATTTATTATTTTTAGGGATAGCACTTACTGCCCTTTAACAAGGATGCTGCTTTTTTTTACCCCCTATTCTTTTCTTTAATAGAAAAAGAAAATGCCGGGGATGGGAAATATGAAACGCCGTTAATGAGTTATCAGTGAATTAGTTGTGCTGCTCTCAATGCCCCTCAGTCCTTTTGTGCCGCAGCTGCACGGAGCAGGTTTTCCAGGGCAGGAGCTGCTCCGAGCCCATGGGAACCGCGGGGACGGGGGATCGGAACTCGCGCCAGGCCTCCCAGATGAGGAGCCCGGCTAAGGGAGGGCGGTCGGGAGATGCCTTCGGGTGAGGGGCTGGGATGTCCTGTGCAAACGCTCTGCGTGGGCTCGCTGGGCTCCGACGGGTGCCTTCCCGACACGTCTCCCCATGCTGGAACTGCTGGATGGAGATTGCAGCTCCCATTGTAGCCCCAGGAGAAGCTTCCCACGTTCTGCACCCCCGTTGCAACCCCGGGAGAAGGTCCCGTTGTCCTGCAACCCCGGGAGAAGGTCCCAGTTTGCAGCGTGCAGAGCTGCTGCTGGTGCACACGGGGGTGAGGCTGGTGCTAAGGAGCCTCTGCATCCCGTTGGTGCCCGGTGTGTGAGACTGGTTTATACCCGCTCAGGAACCGGCCCCAAGGGAAGAAAAGTAAGGAGTGAGGAACATCTGGAGTGGGCTGAATCAGAAAGAGAACAAGAATTGGTATTTTCTGGGTCTCCTCTGCACTCTCAGGCTCTTTTTGTGTGTGTTCAGCTTAAAAGCTGTCATTTAAGCAGATCATTTTCCCTTGAACGTTTGTCAATAGCGCTCGAACAGCAGCAGCTCCTTATCCCAACTAATTGGAGTCAAGTAGGGCTCCGATAAACGATTTCTCCCCAGTGAGCCCTGGGAGACAACGCAGAGGGGGTTTAATTTCCAATGAGAAATGCAGAGAAGGAGAAACGAGCCCGAGGGCGGCTGCGCACGGCCTGGGGGGGCAAAGAGCATCCCCGGTGCAGGTGAGCGGCTCGGGGTCTCTGCAAAAAGCTTCCTGCCCGCTTTAAAGTTACCTGCTTTTGCTCCGTGCTCCTGCGTTCGGGCTGTTTAAGAGCAAGGCTGTAACATTAAGGTGATTTACAGCAGTCCCTGGAGCTGCGGGGCACAGGGCTGGCTTTGGTTTCCCTTTTCCTCAGGTGAAAGAAACCTCCGCCGTTAACTCGGGAGACCTTACAGCGGCTGCCCCTTCAGCCCTTGATTTACGGGCCCAGATTTATGAGCTAAAAATTATTATTCCACTCGCATCTATTTTTTCTCTCCCCCCGGCCGTTTTAGTGCTTGTGAAAGGTGAGGGTTTTGACAGCTCCTGGAAACAAAAGCCTTTAATATCCCCCCGAGCGAGCGAGCGGCTCCCGGGCGAGCGGGAGATGCCGGAGCGCTCCAAAGCGGCCGCGCTGAGCTTCCAAAGGCATCGGGATCCGCTGCCCGGGGGGGTGTTTTGGAGATAACGGTTTAAACCGCAGCGATAGCAGCAGCGCTGCTGGCGGGGTCGGGGCAGCGCGCCCGCGAGCCTCGCGCCCGCCGCTCTGCCGCTCGCTGCCCGCAGAGCGCGGCGTTTTTAAGCCACGCGGTTCCTGTGGAGGAGGCAGGAATCGAGGGGGACGGGCAATTGCACTCGTTTCTGCGTTTTCGTCACTCGTTTTCTGCGTTCGCGGGTGTCAGTTTGCCCCGGCCCTCGAAGCCAGGGCTGCTCCGCTTTACTGAAAGCTCGGAAGGAGCAGCGGCTGCTCCAGCCACGTGTTCCAGCCGTGGGGAATGCAGATGTGCTGTGGGATCCATCCATCGGCGGGGACATTTGCAAGGCAGCAATTCCCACCCCGCTGGTGGCTTCAGGGGCGCAGGGAATTTGGGCATCCCGAGCACCCCTGTGTTCTGTATTTCCAGAATGCCTAAAGGGAACAACCAGCATTACGGAAATTTCACTGGGAGCCGGTTCCAGCCTGCAAGGGCACCACGGAGCAGCTCAGTCTGGCTGCTCCCGTCTCCTCCATCAGCTGGCTCCTCAATTGGCTCATCAAACAAAAAATAAATAATCATCCCAGGTTGCAATTTCATCTCTCAGGTGCCTGGGACTTGTTTCTGTTTATCGCAGAGGCAACGTTAGGGCGAGGGGCGTGGGGGGAGCCCGTGGACTTCATTGACTCTCCCGTCCTTGGACTCAGGTGGCTCAAACACGGAGCTGGACAGTGTGGTTGGAGGTGGGTTGTGCTATGGGAAGAGGTTCCAGGCACTTCTCCTTCGTATCCAGCTTCGTATCCAGCTGTCTCCAGCCTAGGGAGCCCCTGGCCCCTTCCCTCCTGGTGCTCCCGTGGTCCCTCTCCAAGGCAGGACACTGGGCTGGAGGATCCTCGACCCATTCTGGAACATGATGTTCTCCATGCACCAGGTGCATCGCGTGGGCTTGCCAGCCGTGGAGATGTCCCTCGTGCAGGCAGCCCAGGAGCAGCACCGGGATGTGTCCTGAGAGGCACCCGAGCTGGGGCCAGAGCAGAACCGGTCTCGGGAGACTGGAGCAGCCGGGTCCAAATCGGGCCCCACCACGTGCATCTTGCCGAGGAGGAGCCGGCCAGTGTTCCCACAGTGTGTGTCACGGTTCCCCGAATAACCAAGGCGCTCAGACAAACAAAACAAAAAACCCCGGTCTCTCTGGAGACAAGTCACAAACAGCGAGCCCGGCCAAGCTCATTGATAGCGGCGCGCGGTGAATCACCGACCAGCTGGAGTTGGAGCAATTTGGGTCAAATACGCTCCCTGGCGCCGCTCCATTGACTTATCTTGCCGTTCCCTTGCTCTCCCTCGCCCAGGGCTTGGCTTGGGCTGCTTTTAGTTAAAAGCAGAGGCTGCAGCGCTTAGGATGGACACCTGCGTGTGCCCGGTCCCCCACGGGCCCCGCTGGCCGGTCCCCGCTCCGGCTCGCGCAGGACCGGCTCCTCATGCAGGAGCACAGGGAGAGCAAGGGCAGCGTTAGGAGGCCGTTGTGCGGAGCTCTTTGCAGGTGGATCCATCGTGTGCCGACGGGTCCATAAGAGCCACCGCAAAGCGAGGAGGCCGCGTGTCCCCGGGGCGAGCGCCGGGCTGCTCCGTGCGGCGAGCGCGGACGGCCCGGGCAGCTCGCTCCAACATTACATCAGGAGCGCGGGGATGCTGAGCGTACTGTCTGGGAATCCGGAGCGAGAGGGGGGTTTGCTCCGCATTATGTGCTCGGTGAAGAATGCTCCTTGGCCTGCCTCGCTGGGGCGGCCTGAGGAGCGGGGACGCGGCGCAAAAGCGGCTCCGGGCCCCGGCTTCCCGCTGCCGGCGCCAGCCTCGTCCCGCTGCATCCGCACCCAGCACAGAGCTCCCTAGGGCCCTGCACACCCCCCCGGCTGGAATTGCGCCCCAGGCTGGAATTGCGCCCCGTTTTAACCAGGAGGCACCAACGCGAACGAGCTGGGGACCCTTCCCCTGCCGGTGATGGTCCCTGCCGTGCCGAGCGTTGGGGCGGGCAGATAAGGGAGGATTTCACCCATCTCCTTAAAGTGGTCGGGAGGAAGAAAGCAGCCTTTGTACGGGCCCTTCTGAGGGCCTCTGTTCTGCTGAGGTTGGAAATAGCACAAAAACATCCTTTCTCGCTGCATTGTGTCGCTTCCAGCTCGGGCCTCCACCACCACCCAGATGTTTCGATGCTGATGCTGAAAAGGAAAATAAGAGCCGGGCGAGGAAGCCAGGAGAGGGGGGCAGCCATGGAAAATGCTGCTAGAAACCTACATCCCATCCCTGACCAAAGGGGAAAGCGGCAGTGAAGGAGACTGGGACCTGGGTATTATTATCTTAGTAAGTGCTGGGCTGATGGCTCATCCAGCTGTATGGCTCTCTACATGCACCTGTATAGTTTAGCTTTAAAATTATATATATATATATTCAGCTTTGAGAGTATTCAGGGTTTCTCATTATCAAGCCCTTTTCCTTTCTTTTGCTCTGATCCTCCTTTTCCCCCTTTTCATTCCCAAATGCATTTTATGATCACGTCCGATGGGCAGTGCGAGTTCACCGATCTGCTTTTAGCATTATTCACCTTCCCCAGAAGGCAATTCCGCCCAGGAGCACGGCTGGAATAGCTCGGTTATCACCTAACGGATGGGGCAAGGCAGGCTCAGCGGGACGCTCCTCCTTGCCGCGCGCAGCCCCGCGCCGAGCGCCCGCCTGGCCGGGTTCCTCCGCGCCCGCTCCGCTGCCTGCACGTCCAGCATTGCTGCCAAGGTGCAGCTCCTCGTCCATCCCTGCACAGAGGTCTCTGTGTGCAGGATCCCAGGCAGCCTGGGCCGGGATGACGTGGAGCAGGGAAACGGTCCTCAGCTGGTGTGGGATGCGCAAGGGCCAGGAAAGAGCCCCAGGGATGGGGGTGACCCCGCGGAGGTCTGGGCCTGCTCTGCGTTGCATGGCTGCACTGCATGGCTGCAATGCACAGCTGCAGCACACAGAAACGGGCTACATCTGCAATGCACGGCCACGCTGTACTGGTGCAATGCACATCAGCACTGCCTGGGTGCAATGTGCAGCCACATTGCACGTGCCTCATTGCAGTGTGGCTCCATGCAGGGCTGCGCTGCACAGCCACATTGCACGGCCACATTGCCTGCAGTGCAGAGCAGGGGTGCACAGACACATTGCACGGCCGTGCTGTACAGCCGTGTTGCCCGGCTGCACTGCATGGCTGCAACGCGTGCCTGTGTTGCGCCGTTGCAATGCACAGCCACGCTGCACGACTGCACAGCAGGCTGCGGGCACCCATACAAGCACCTGCAGCTGGAGGCTGCTCTCACAGGGCATCCCTTGCCCCGAGGCCATTCCCATCACCTACCATATCCCACCAGCTCTCCTCGTCATCCCCTTCCTCAGCTTCCCCTCCTCCTCATCCCCTTCCTCCCTGCTCACCAGCCCCGTTTCCCTTCTCCCCTCTCCCCAGCAGCGGGTTCCTCTCCCGAACCAGCTTCCCATGGCGTGCGCGGGAAGCAGCGGCCGTGGCCGGAGGCCTGGGGCCCGTTTGCCCGCGAGCCGCGGGCGCTGCCAGGCCCCTGCGCGCGCTCGGCTGCAGCCGGAGAGCAGCCAAAGCCCCGCGGGCGCTGCCAGCGCCGGGAAGGGGCGAGCGAGCTGCGCACAAAGCGGGGTCTATAGCCCGCCCGGGCACCTGACGCTGCGGGCAGGGAGCGCGGCGACGTGCTCAGCCCCGATAATCCCCGCGCTGAGCTTAATATATATCTCTTTTTTTTTTTTTTTTTTTTGCTTTTCAATCAAAAGCCCAGCGACAGCTGGGGCTGAGGCTTTCCAGGAGATGAACTCATGGACAACTGTTCGAAATAGCTTTATTCGGATTGCTATTAGATCAGACCACTGGGGAGCTACCAAGTATTTGGGATTGCTACAGGCAGATAAGGCCAGGCTGGAAAAGCCAGGGCTGCGGCACACGGGGACGGGGCGACCCTGGGCATCCTGCGGCCACCCCATGGGCACACGGGGGCTATGGGAGGTTTGGGCCCCGTGGTGTTTGCATGGGGTGCTGCAGCCGTGCATGGGGTGTTGCGTGCATGCACAAGGTGTTGCATGCATGCACGAAGTGTTGTGTGCATGCACGAGGTATTGCAGCAGGTGTTGCATGCATACATGAGGTGTTGCAGCCCTGCAGTGGGTGTTGCATGCATGCCCACGGTGTTGCAGCCATGCAGTGGGTGCTGTGCTCTTGCAGCGGGTGCTGCGTGCATGCAGGTGCACGCGCAGTGTGCACACGTGTGCCCTGGACAGGCCTGCGGCAGCTTCGTGCCGGTTTTGCCTACAGACACGTGGCACTCGTGCTGCGGAGCCACCATCCCCAGCAGCCCGTCCCGTCAGACATCCCTTGGAGCAGTCACAGAGCCAGCACGGAGAAGCCCAGGGGCTGCAGGGCCCCTTCGCTGCCCATCCTGACATCCCAAGCACAATGCTGGACGGAAAGCATTTCCCCCGGGACATGGGAACGGTTTGGAAGCAAGAACCAAAACGGGCAAATTATCGCCCCGGATTCGCAAGGGCTCCTGGCGCGTCGCAGGGTGCGCGGGGCCCGACGCCGCGCGGACGGCCTGCCCTGCACCGCGGCCGCGCCGGCCCCTCTGCGCTGCCCCGGCGCAGCTGCGGCGCCCGTCTCCATCATCCCCATCCCATGGGAAGCCGAGGTCCTGCCGGGCATTTCTGCTTCCCAGCATGACGTCCAGCAAACCTGAGCGCGCGGTCCCGGAGCCGGCAAAGGGAAGGGCAGGTGGGAGACGGCGGGAGCCGCCCGCCCTGGCCAGCACACACACATCCATGAGCTACGAGGTCTTTTCCATCCCTCGCTGCCGCCGTCCGAGCAGTCTCGGCACTCGGGATCTTTTAAAAATAGCCCGGCTGCGGCGCGGGGTGCAGGGAGCAGCCCGGCTTGGCCGCGGCGCGCGCTGCTCCAGCAGGACTTTTCCATCGCGCTGGTCCACGATTAGTCAGGACGAGGAGAGAACAAGAGAAAGGAAATCGAGAAGCACAATGGTAATTCCAGCCAGCGCTCGCCTGAGTCAGGTTGTTATAATCCTGACATCATGTCTTGAAAAGAGGCCTGGAAATAAATCTCTTGTGGAGAGCAGCTGCTCGCCGGGGCTGGAGGCGAGCGGCAGGCCGCGAGGGGAAAGAGGAGTTACCCACTTGGGGTGTTTCTCTTCCCAAAACTGTGCTTTTCCCCGTTTTGCTGAGTTTGAAAGGGGCAGTGGAGGAACGTGCAGCTCCCAGGGGGATCTCGCACCTCGGCATCTCCTGCTAAAACACAGGAAAGCAGACGGAGATGTCGGAGCTCCTCAAGGACCTCAGCTCTGGACGTGTCACCTGCTACAGCTATTCCCGACTGCCTCCGTGCCCTGAGATGTACGTTCAGGCAACCAGGACACAACACAAAACGTATCGGAACCCCCCCGCAAAACGGAACGGGATGCAATGGGATGCGATGCAACAGGATGCAACGGGGCGGGATGCAATAGGAGGGGATGCAGTGGAAGTGATTGCAATGGGATGCAGTGGGATGGGATGGGATAGGATGCAATGGGATGGGATGCAAAGTGACACCACAGGACAGGAAGGATGATAAAAGTGACGGGAGCAGCAATAAAACCTCCCAGCGGACACAGAACCCGGCCCCGCGCCAGCAGCAGCCGACAGTGCCCTCTAGTGCGCTGCAGCACCGACCGGCCGGCCGGCCCTCCTTCCATCCCTCCATCCCTCCATCCCTCCATCCATCCATCCCTCCATCCATCCATCCTCCATCCATCCGTCTGTCCATCCCTCCATCCATCTGTCCATCCGTCTCTCTATCCCTCCGTCCCTCCATCCATCCATCTATCCATCCCTCCATCCCTCCATCCATCTGTCTGTCCATCCCTCCATCCCTCCATCCATCCATCCCTCCATCCATCCATCCCTCCATCCATCCATCCATCCCTCCATCCCTCCATCCCTCCATCCATCTGTCTATCCCTCCATCCCTCCATCTGTCCATCCATCCCTCCATCCATCTGTCTATCCATCCCTCCGTCCATCCCTCCATCCATCGGTCTGCCCGTCCATCCGTCCCTCTTTGCACCGCAGCCTCCCGCCGCCGTCACCGTCGCCTCCGGCCACTCCGTGCCCCAAACCGCGGCCGTTCCCCGTCCCCCTGCCACCCGCTGCGCCTTCGCCCCCGGTTACGAGCAGGGCTGCGCAGGATTCACGGCAGATATTTCAGGACACGGAGAGCGGGAAGGGCCGTTCCCGCGGGCGCTCGGCCCCGCTCCCCACGCGCTCGTTTGCCCTGGCCCTGGTGAGCGCCGGGCTCCTCGAGGACTTGCCATTAAGCAAGAATTGATGACAGAGGATGAAAATTGTGTTTTAGCATCTGAGGTCCCCGCCACGCTGTTTTTCCGGACGTTTCAGTGATTCCTCTTGGCAAGGGCTCCGAAAGCTGCTCCGGGGACGTGACAATGTCCCTTCTGCCCCGGGCGCCCTCCCTCGCCGCGGCGGCCCACGATTTATGTCCCGTGAGCGGCGCGTGGACGTCACGGAGGGTCTCACTGGGATCGAGGCTGGTTTCGGGGGTCACCTCGGCTGCGGGTGAGGAAGTCGCCGGCGCTGCCAAGAGCAAATTTACCTGGTGATGGATGAGGAACCGGAGTGTCAAATAAATCAACAGCAGTAGCACCTTTTCTTTCTGGCAGCTTGGTGTCATCCGAGGTCACGCAGCGGTGCCTTAGGGGATCGGCTGCCAGGGGCCAGTGCTCGGAAAGCGGTTTAAGGGAAAAGCAGCGTCTTGAAGGGCTGCGTTTAGAAACAAAATCTGACAGAGCCGCCCGGGACGTCCTGCAGGGACGAAGGTTTCGCTTGAGCATCAGCCTAGTGACAGGGACAGGACAGGGACAGCAAGAACCCCCCACGCCGACCTGCTCCCACACGATGGGGACAGCGAGTGGCACTGCCCTCATTCCCAGGCTGGTGCAAATTAGTGCAAGAACCTATTTTACTTTTTTTTTTTTAAAAAAAACAGGAAGTTTCCCCATTAGAAACCACAAGTTTTATCTGCATGCAATGCCAGCCCTTCTGCAGTTTTGGAGATGGCCATTAAAGCTTTGCATCTTATGCTTTTCTTTCCTTCCTTCCTTCCTTCCTTCCTTCCTTCCTTCCTTCCTTCCTTCCTTCCTTCCTGCCTTCCTGCCTTCCTGCCTTCCTGCCTTCCTTCTTTCCTTCCTTCCTTCCTTCCTTCCTTCCTTCCTTCCTTCCTTCCTTCCTTCCTTCCTTCCTTCCTTCCTTCCTTCCCTCCTTCCTTCCTTCCTTCNTCCTTCCTTCCTTCCTTCCTTCCTTCTTTCATTCTTTCCTTCTTTCTTTCTTTCTTTCCTTCCTTTTTCTTTCCTTCTTTCCTTCCTTCCTTCTTTCCTTCTTCTCTTCTTTCCTTCCTTCCTTCCTTCTTTCCTTCTTTCCTTCTTTCCTTCTCCGTGCCGAGGAGGATGCGCAAAGGGGCCGTGCAAGGTTACAGAGACAGCAGCACCTACAAAGCGAGGCAGGGGGAACGTTTGCGTCACGCTAAGCAGGTTCCTCGGGGCACGGCTGGATTTATTGCAACGCTCTCCGCAAAGAAAAAAATAAAGAAATGATAAATGGAAGCTGTAATTTTTATTGGGGAGGAGAGCCAGATCGCGGGCGAGGAACAAAATAATAAAAAAGGCATAAATTAGGAGGGCGGCTGGACGCGTGGAAGCAGCGAGCGCTGGGCTCGTATATAACGCGGGCGGCTGGGGAACGTGACCCGGCGCCGCGCAGGGAGGTTACCCACAGAAAGATCTCCTATTAAGTCATATTAGGGTGAACTTGCTGTGCGAGGGCTCCGGGGTGGCTGCTCTTTCCCGCTGCCGAGCCGTGGGCACGGGCTCCTTGGAAAGAGGCTTCCCGGAGGCTGCGAGGCTGAAGGAGCCGCTCCGCTCTGTTCTCCCCGATGAGATCCTATGGATCCCATGGATCTCCTCATGGTTTGAATGTGTCAAGTAGGAGAAACCCCAGCCCTGAGGGACTGGGGGGTTATGGGAGGCTCGGGAGCTGCTTGGTTTCATCCCAGGTCCATCCTGAGATGTCCTCGGTGCTCCCCATCCCTCCTCATCCCACAGCTACCAAGTCCTGGGTGAAGTCAACGGAAAGTCGACAGAATTAAATCCGGGATTTAATTAAACACAGCCAAGTCCTACGTCTCCGCAGGGAAGTGTCTCCACTGAACATGTTGCCCCCTTGGCCATCGCAGCTTGCGCAGAACATCCCTGTTTTTCTAGCACTGCTAACACTGCACTTCAAAGGAGGGTTTTACCCTGTCTGCTGCTCCTCAGCGCCAAAGAAAAGGAGAGGGGAAGAACCAAACATCTTTCCGGGACGTGTTTCCACCCACCAAACGTGTCTCAAACAGCAGCAGACTCTCCAAGCCTTGTCTGGACAGCCAAGTTTGTCTCCAAACCTGAGCAGTCTCCTTGGGTCTGAGTCCATCTCCCGACCCCGCTTTGATGCCTGACGCCACAAGTGCCTCCTGCCGCCGAACTTCCCTCGTAATTGTCCCTTGGATTAGCTGGGAAAATTGCATAAGCCCTGGGTTAGAGCTGGCTGCTTCTCCCATCCGAGTGCCTGAGGCTTCATGGGGCAAAGACTAAAGAGCTGCGAAATGCAGAGATATAACAGATGTTGACATGTAGTGAAAATACTAGACGCAGGAGCCTAAGATAATAAATCTGAAAAATTAACACGTAGGGGAATGAAAAAAGGAGCAATATGTTTTGGTAATCATTCTGAACTGCTGAACCCTTCTGCTGCCGTTCAAAAATCTCTGGTATTAAGCAGATGTCATTCAGCCAATGATTAACACATTACCGAATTTCTCCAGTCGTTTAATAAAAGTTTTACCTA